CCAAATTCCAATAACCAACGATTTTTTCATATATTTGACTTGATGAAGTTTAAAGGCAACAGAATTACATCAACTTCTTAAATTTATGCCAAAAACTTGAAGACCTAACAAGTTCTTAAAAGCCAATTCTGAAATAAACCTATTTGAATTGATTTTAATATCAGCAACTTTAAGAAATATGTGATGGATAAAAAAGACAAAAGATATTGTATTACAACCCAGGAGTACACATCAAACAGACACCTTCACTAAACTTATCATAAGCAAGAAACACAAAGTATCACAACTTGAAATATCTAAGCTCATTAAAATGCAATTGCCAAAAAGCAAAATCATGGATGCAAATTCAAAAGTTGAATGGCACTCAAGATCCTAAAATTTACACCATAAAAATCAGATTAAGTAGCAGATAACAATAGAAAATATGCATTTTTATTAAACAAATGAGCATGGCATTAAGGAACTCTAAACACTTCATGGACAATAATTAGAACCTCATAACCAATAAATTATTAGCATAATATCAGGCAAAGGTATAAAATATACAAAGCCAATTAGGTATCTGTTTTTTATATGAAATACAAGTGAAAAATCAAAATGATCACATAAGTTTTAAGACATACAAAAAAGGTACAATGAATGTAATAAATTACATAAGATAAAATCACTAGTATTTTTGATAACAAACAATCAGAATTAGCTTATCCAGGAACAAAAACACAAGATGCATATCATATTAAGCGCGTGTTCGGTAGAGATTAAAATCGGATTAAAATTGAAAAATTAGTGTTATTGTTGACTTTTATTAGACGATAGGACCCAATAACGGCTATATTTTCAATTTTAATTAGATTTTAAGCTTAGCCAAACATGCTCTAAATGTATTCACTATATCTACACATCTAAAGTATATTATGTAAAATTAACAAGTTTAAATTCTAAATAGGAAAAAGTAAATATCATTTTCATCAGAAAGAGTAATATTTAATAAATAATCTAAAACCAT